ATATTTATGTTTGTGGTTGTAATGTGACAAAATATGGAAAAGTTCAAAGGGTATGAATACTTTTGCAAACCACTGTAAATACCCATCTTGGTTCTCACACAATGGAGTGGAAAGCTCAAACATTAACTTATGTTCTACTGTGTATATGTTATTGGGAAAGCTGGTTTCAAATGTTTTTCACTATCTAAATGGTGCCGGCAGTTCTGATGTGGGAACAGTGAGATGTAGGAACTGTCTGTTCAGTGGTTCTTTGGTCATTTAGACCTTCCAGCAGTTTACCTACAGAATATCATCCAGGCTCATTTCAGTATTATGGTCCCAATAAATCTGTTAGTATCTCACTTGATCCAGTTCAGCCTAAAGGTTCGTTCTCTTTGAAGGAATATATTGAATCTGGATTGTATAATGTACTGAAAACTGGGAACTTGTTTAATTAATTAAAATGGAAATTAAATCAGATATGTTTCTTTCTGTCACAACATCCAACTTTATTTTTCTGCAGTCCCGATCAGTCTTGGGGTCAGTTTCACTTCTTATATTTGTACTTTATGTTGGTGTACTGACATTTAGTCTCTGTCTTTGCTGCAGGCAGATCAGCGTTTTGTTTGGAACGGACACTTGTTGAGGGATTTTATTACTCAGCCAGAGGTAAGTGAAAATATACTGACTTTATTATTTTAGTTTAAATAGACTGTGGTGTGTCTTTAGTCTGATGGACCCGAGTCAAAAAGAAAAATCAACAATAAACAAATCTAAGTAGTTGAAGGTGTTTTTCATTCAGAACTAGTCTTTAGCTCCAGCTGATTGGTGGGACTTTCAGGCTGTAAAAAGGGACAGTTACACTTGTGACTCATTCAAGTCACATTTATTTTAATCACCCAATAAACATTTTCATATCCTCGGAGACTTTATCACCAGTGTGTCTTCTCTGGCCAACATGTTTTAAGGTGTGAGCGGTTGTAAAACTTCAGTCACTGAGTCAAAAACACCTGAAACGGCCTCCTCAGACCCTAACGGTCAAACAAATGAGCTGCTGGGTCAGTAATTCACTTCCTCATCAGACCCAACCTACTAGCTAGGTGAATGAGTCATTAGCTCACATGTCTTGGATTAGCAATGCTTGAGTCCACCTCTTTATAGAATKCTTAAAGAAAAACAGATTGGTGAATGGGTTGATTAGTCAAGTGACTTTTGATTGATATCCTTACAGAGTTGTAGTAGAGTGCTGTATGACTATATGGGTGAATGAGGGTACAGATTGTGTTATAAAATGCTCTGGTGGACTGGTTTGTTAGAAGGGTGCTATTTAGATACTGCCCATTTATCTCTGATTATAATGGAGCCCCAGTGAACCATTGGATGTCTGCATTGGTCACTTGGGTCAGTGACACAAAGACCACCTTCTCACACCCAAACAGCTCGTTGAATGGGTGGATTGGTCAGAGGCACACATGATGTTTCACAGGTGTGAAACCATATCCTGAGTCTGAAAATCACCTGCAGTCAGTCAGATTGAGGCTGTTTGAATACGAGGTGTAAATAAGTCTAATTACCTTCTTTTATCATGCAGAGTTCTGTAGATAGACCAGTGTTGTGCTGTGTCATTAGGAAAATCTATTCTGTTCAAAAGTTTTGGATTAACTAGTCTAGACTGTATTTAAGTTGCATAAGTTCTGTCTCAACAAAGAACCCTTTGCAAATACAGTAGCTGAAGAAAAATATATTGATGTTTTTGTTAAAGCAGAGTCTGCAACAAATGGAAATAATACTTGATTGTTTAATTCTTCTGTTTCTTCTAGCTTCATAAGTTTGTGTTTCCTGTTATCCACGGCTGTATCCTTTCCACTGAAAGAAAAACTAACATTAAGCTTTAATGGAAACTGAATCAATCAATTTTATTGAAACAACACATAAAAAATAAAGTCAAAGAAATAAACTCACAAAGTTTTCATTAATGTCACAGAGTAATCACTAGTACTACAGCCCCTCCAAAGAACTTAAAGGAACGTCTCAGTTTAGCTAGAAAACATCTTGATGACCCCCAAGACTAAAATATGGTGGTGGTAGGGCAATGGTCTGGGGCTGTTTTGTTTATGAACTACATTTTGTGTTACTTGTGTTATCTTTGTCAGATATTTAAATTTGTTTGGTGATCTGAAACAATTTATTGTCAAATACAGCGGGTAAAATAAGTATTGAACACGTCACCATTTTTTTCARTAAATATATTTSTAGAGGTGCTAATGGCATGAAATTTTCACCAGATGTTGGTAATAACCCAAGTGATCCATACATACAAAGAAATCAAAACATAAATGTCCAGAAATGAAGTTATTTGTAATAATGTGGAATGGCACAGGGAAAAAGTATTGAACACATGAAGAAAGGGAGGTGGAAAAAGTCATGGAAAGCCAAGACACCAGCTGAACTTGAATTGTTGCAAAGCATAATGATGGCATCGGTTACAGAAGAATGTCTAAACTTCTGAAG